CGGCCAACTGTTTGCTAGTACTTTCTAGCCACCTTGTTTGATATAAACCACCTTTAAGTCGAATTAAGGTTACTTAATGAGATAAAAAGATCTTTATATTGTTTCGATTGGTCAGTTATGATGACAGCTATATGCTTAAGTGGTCCGATTGTGGTGGTTCCAAATCAGCAGCTTCTTGGGGAAAAGAGGACGTGTGTAAACATTCAGATCGATATCTTCAAAACTGAGGGGCTAGTTTGTGTATATACAGACGGACAGACAGACGGTTGACATTCAGGTTCGGCACGCTGATATTTTACTAATATAAAAATATATACTTTATAGAGTTGTTCACCTTGTACCTTGTTCAGGTTATTAATATAGATAGACGGAAATATTGTAACTATATTATTTCGTTCTATAAACTTGTATTCATATACATACGTCGAGTCATTATATTTAGCGACAAAAATAAGTTAATACTTTACATACATAGATATGTAAGTACATTCGCACGAATAAATTTTCCTGTTTACATAAATACATTGAGTATAGTAATGCATGAGCTGAATATAACAGATAATTATAATTACCACAGTGAGTAAATGGGTAAATAAAGATTTGTGTAGCTGAAATGAATAATGAAAACCTCAAAGAGTACCTTCTTAATCGAATGCAGCAGCAAATTAGGATCTAATTTCTCAAAACCAAAAACAACAATAAAACCTTGGGCTTGCCTTTAGATATAGATATAGATGAATGGGAAAGGGGAAACGGGAAAGAGGCAATGAAAAAGATAAATGATTTCAAGACAGCTCAGGTGCAGTGGCAGCGGATTTTGATTGACGTTTCACTGCAACTGTAAATGCATTCTAAATGAGCAGAGCGGAAGATTGTATTCGCGCACAAAAGAAATTCAATGCATCTGCATAGAAGATCAATGCGAGACATTCAAATTTGGCAGCGCAGCCTCATGCTGAGGCACAACGCTCGCTATCTGGCCGCCGATCCATTAGGAAGACAATGCGATCAGCCGCTGCAGCAGCGTGAGTGGCGGTGGCAGAAGCAGGCGCAGCAGCAGCATCGAAGACAAATGAGTTCGTATTGACAGTGACAGGATGATGGTGCAGACGGACTCGCGAATAGATTCATGAGTGAATGTGCGCATGTGTGTGTGCGTATGCCGGTGCACTTGTGCCGACAGCTTTAGTCACCGAGTCTCTCGGGTTCTGGTTGTGTGCGTTTTCTCACATTAACCCCTAAAGATGGAGCGATTGCGTCTGCGACTGCGCCGTAGCGCTGCGGTGCCGCTGATGACGTTGTTGTGTTGCGGTCGTTGCATTTCTTTAATTTTTGAAGATAATTAAGCGGAACAATGCATTGCATTCACAGATATTTCTGGTCCACATGAATGCACCAGCACACACACTGACACACACATCAGCACTACTTTGGATGCGTCCATGTGCATATCGAGATTTTCTTATTGTGTTTTGATTGCACTTCGGCTACCTTACGATGTTGCTTCAATTAGTTGCCTGCATATCGCCTGCAATTATAATAATTGCTTTTCTTTTATCTTCTCTCGGCTGCGGTAAATAAATAAAAAATGATGCGAAGGGCCTATGCACCATTACACATACATACACGCATAAATGTACACATAAATGTACACATACATGGACATATTCGTACTCTTTTCGTGCATTCCCCACCTGTGTGGGTATTGCGGACTGTGAATGAGATGTAATTTGCACTTTGAGAGACAAATCGGCTTGTTTACACACACATACAATCACTATTGCTCGTGAAGCGCAAGTACATTGGCACATTTTCGGACCCAATTTGGGTTTTAATTAAAAAGTGCACTCTTCCAACTCTCCGCATGTTTGTTGCATGATAAATCCGCAAATAACAGAAAGTTTTGCTGCTGTGGTTCGAATGCGTTTAAAGTGATCATTTGAATTCGTTTGTATATTTTGCATTACTACTATTTACACGCTTAATATATGGCACATGCAGTTAAACAATATACACATACATATGTACAAGTAGAGTACGTAAGTATATTTGTCAGTCAACTGGGCTTTTAGTCTTGTGTGTGCGTGCGTCTCTTTTATTCAGAGATATCAGCATTGGGTTTTTGAAATTACTTTAATTTCCGGTGGCGTGCTACGCATAATGTGGTCAGCAGTTTCTTTCTGATTTTTGTCCATTTTCTATCAGCGTGTTGGTACGTGTGTACATATGTATATGTAGCTGTGTGTGTCTGCTTTTCCCCTTCGGTTTTGGCTCACCTGTCGGATAGTTTTACATTGAACTCCATAATTATACATAAATCTTAAACATTTCCTATTACCGCATCAAATCTTCGGAACATCAAAACGACGCTAGTTTGCATGTGACTCGCACATTTCCGTTTCCCAAGTAGATCATTAGATCATTTATTTACATACGCAAATGTAAAGCGGTCGCTCACAAAAAAAATACATGAATACAAAACCTTAAATAAACGGTTAGACAGAGTTAACGCTTTACAGTTAAAGACGCTTACCTCTTCCATATTTTCTGCCAACTAAAATATTACACAAGTCTACTACTTTTCGTACCAAAGCTGTGCTGATACCAATCGGTAATGAGATGCAGATGAAGTGTCACCGATTTGCGCTAAATAATTATTAATAAAGCGGACCGTTTGGAGTAGAAGCTTATTTTCTATTACTGTAATCGCATTAAAGCTTGTACTAAGTCAACACTGGCAGCAGTATTTTAATATCTGAATACAATCCTTTGGCTACAGCTATTATATATATGTTTGTGTGTACGTATGTATTTGGCAAATTCTAATCCTCTCGAAACAGTTAGCAGTTCCGCCTTAGGACTTCATCTGATCGTTTAGTCATCAATTTAAAAACGCCTTAAGAAGTGAGACCAGCTGACAGCAAATGTTTGCCCCAAATGACATTTATACACAGATTTCTTTAACAAAATTGCCACAGATTGGGGTTGCTCCCAAGCATACATGTGTATGGTATGTACGGGTGTGTGTATTTCGGTATAGCCGATTTCTATGCGAATGCCTAAATTGCCAAAAGTAAGTGTTAAAGTGAAAAACGAGGTATTTACAAACTGTTAACAACTTTCCGCAGCAACAGATTGCACAATTCGACCACGCGACGCACACGCATGCAGTCCTCCGCATGTGCATATGTGTGTGCGTGTACGGTTATGTGGGTCTATTTGCACGCACTCATAAACAACTTAACCCTTTTGCCTGCTTATGTGTGTTTGAAATGAAAAAGTGACCATCTACTATTCCTCCTACTCCCGCTCACGCAGCGCAACCCTGCGCCCAAGGAATAGTACTTATGAGATTTCCAATTTTTTATGCGTTTAAAGGATTCCCATTTCACTTGTCATCTGCTATGCAACAAACTCGGTGAAAGCATCAACGATCTGCTTCCTTGATACTAAGCTCTAAGTCAGAGATTTCCCCAATTTAATGCCGGCACACATGATACCAGCGTTTCGATAAAGACTCGCTCGGGCCGTCGATGGAAATGACACACAGTGCCCTGGAGTATTATTCACGGCTTGTGTGGGTGCTGCGGGTAGTGTCAACAAAAGCTTAATTTTGTTGTTGCTGGACAGCAATAAAACCGCCTCTCTGCATCTAGTATATATTTTCCCATATGTGTATGTGTTTGTGCTGGTATGTTCGTTTTTAAAAAACGAACGGAGCAGAAGGAGTTAATGTCGCAAATACATTGGCAACATTTATGAAGATTGAAAGGGTTGCCGAACACTGTGCCGGCCTGAGACGACCATGCGGGTTCACAAATTAGAGGGGTGCATATGTTAACCTACTTGATGTGGCGTGGTAAAATACAAGCCGACGCGTATGGAGCGTGCAAATGGGACTGAGCGGCAAGGATTCACGAATAACACCAAATAACACGAGCGCTCAAGTGCTGGCTCGCAAGTCTTTAGTGGTTCATATAAATGATTTCTGGTTGTTTAACTGTCTGTTTTCATTTGTGTATGTGCATGTGTGTGTCTGTGTGTGTGAATGTAGTTATCAAACATTCATTTAGGACAAGTGTGCTCCTGAAGGGCAACGGTTGGATGGGCCAATTGATGAAACATCTTGTTTTCTCTCGATTATTGAATTTTGAACGCCCCTTTGTTATGATCAATTTTTGTTGCCTTAACCTTTATTCGCGTTGTACGAACACAACCACACACTAATGCTCCGAGCTTATGTTTGTTGCTATTATTGTTGTCACAGCTTGTATTTTGAACGTGTTGAAAGTAAGTGGCGACATGTTTATGCAGAGCCACTTGCAACCATATTGTTCGTTTTGAATACCTTACGCACTGCCCCCTCACCTTCTACTGGGGTTATTCAAAGTTACATGGGCTCATGGAAAACAAAAATTCGCACATAAACGGTTTAGCGTTAGTGGACGTTCATAGAGTCCTGGCGAGTCGTATCACGGCACTATCAACTTCTCGGTCTCAGTTCAATAATTAGGCAGACGTTTTGTTACTTCCTTCCAAGAAGCATTCCGAGCTTCATATTAAAGTAGCCCATTTCAGGCATACCGAAGAAGTATTTGGGCAAAAACAGAACTTTAAAATTTCAATTTTCAATGCCCATACGCTGCATCTCTAGAAGGACAGATGGATTTTTACTGAAAATTGTTTACCATTGTTTGTTGTCACTGATAAGATTTTTTATAATTTCAAATAAATGGTGTTAGTTGTACGAGGTGTTCTGTGATATTTCCGATTTTGAAAAATATGGGAAAAGTTCCAAATGTTTAGGTAAGCGCCACTATTCTGCTAGATATTTATTTAATTTCGAAACCCCAATGAGGTGTCTAATTTGGCTAAAATTAGCTAATATGGATTAACCCAGAACCTTAATCATCTACATATAGTAAAGCTCGGTACTAAGTGCACCTACACACACACCCAAGCACACGTGTAATACGATATAAAAATCATCAGAGCATTACCATACATACCTTGTTTGACCGGAGCAGCTTGAGCGGTGTGCACCGTCTGTCCGTTATCATTTGTTCGCTCTTTATCACCGTCCGCAACCTCGTCTTCGTCTGGCATATATTGCGTTTGAAGGTATTCCTGTTTGACGTGAATTTGCGGATAATGCGGCGATGGTGCTGTCGTCACTCCATCAGCGCTAATTGATGATTCATTCTCTTGGTGGCGAGTGGGCGAATAACAGCTATGCCAGCAAGCTGTTGCCGACGTTAGAGCTGTTGGGGCAACGGGGGAGATTTTCTTATCGCTGCCGTGGAACAGAGGCGAGCGGGTGCCTGAAGCATAACAATTAACCTTGTCTCCGTCGTCGTGGTCGTTGTTGTCGTCGTCGCAATTGTTGGCTTGCTGGCTATTGCCATTCAAATGTCGGCGATGGTGTCGATTTGATGAAGTATCGGACACGCCGTCATAACGGCCACAAAACACACTGCCATCGATGTTGTCTGAGTCGACTGCGTTCGCTCTGTCGGGCTTGCTGCTGCTGGCAGTGGCAATTTCATTTACTACATAATTGCTGCTAACAACGCCAACTGTTGAGTGATGATGTGGCGAGGTAACGCTACCTCTCTCGTCTGTAATTTGGCTATTAACACCTGCAGTGGCTGCTGTTCTTATCGCCGCACTCGATGGAGCCATTGCCGTAAGCATTGTGCCGGCTAATGCGGCGGCTACTGCGGCCGTTGTTGTCAATGCTGTTGTTGCTATTGCTGTTGATGTCAGTACATTTGAGGCAATGACTGTATTTGATTGCTGTTTGATAGGCACGGATTGACTGGACGCATTCGGCCTGATTGTTGCAGCCACCGTTGGAGTGGTTCGAGTTGGTGACGTTGTCACCTCCGCCTCGGACATTGCGGCGGCAGTGGCGGCCACTGTTATTAGAGACAGAGAACGCTCTGGTTCGGGCATTGCCAAAAGCAGTGGCATTCGGACTTCGCAGCGTGTGGCGTAGCGTTGTGTAAACGTTGCCGGTGCCGTCGGCAACGAGCGCGTGGAACGAAACAAAGCGCAAAATTTGAAGAAGGAATGTTCAACGGTTGGGCAGCAATTCGTCAGCGAACTCTTTATTATGATTTATGGGTTTCGGGTGTAGCTTGCATCTGGCTGTTGTTGCCACGTCGCTGGAATGCGTAACCGCTTAGACGCTTAGTTTCTTGCGTGCAATTTGGCTCATTTTAACCGTTTCGAAATGTTGTTGTACAGATGCTCTTTTAGATTATGATGTTGACCCATGCACCGATGGTGATTTGTTTCCACGCTATTGTTGTTTTGTTGCTATTGTTACATTCAATACGCTACGCATTTACGCTGCTGGAAGACAAAAAATAGAAGTAAAATTCACGAAAAATGAAGAGTGATAATTTTCTTTTCGATTTTAACGAGCTGATGAAAGCTTAATTTGCTAAGTGGACTGCCTTTTGAAACGCATAGAGATAAAAAGACCACTGAACAGGTGAATTTCCCAATTTATCTCGCGCTTTTAAGATAATCGCATTTGTAATTGGTGTTAAACTGTTGACTGGAGTATTTTTACGAATCATCAAGTGCTACTCAATCTGCAGCCTTTGTCATGGACAGCCGAATTAAGCCGAAGCTGATGCCCACAAAGTGATTAGACTACTAAATTATCTGCGTCTACATTCGCGGGTTACTAGAAAACTACCAGCGATTTATGAACATAACTTGAGTGGATTTGAAAATTTCATAATTACGAGATGATGATTGCTGATTACGTGCATCGCTCCGACGTCGCGCGGTGTTTATGTAAGTAATTTAACATACATGCCCACAAATATATGTGTATAGAGTTATAACACATCCTACATCGCTTTAAGGTTTCTAATATACGGCCGAACATGTAACATCCAAAATACAGTTACACCACCAAAATACGTCTCACCAAAAACATTGCTTAAGCTTTATCGAATCCGTTCCCACGACAGTCGGGTCTACGTAACCGGAACGGACCCGGATTTATTCTGGCCAAGGACTGTCAACTCGGCAGAATTCTGTCGCTACAACAACAACAACATCTTTAAATTCGTTTTTCGCTAAACTACTTTTTTAGAAACATGATATCTCAAGTTCTACTCAACCGATTTACGAGATATCATATATATATTTTTAAAAAATTCCGAACGGCAAAAAAACAGGGAAATAACGAAACCTCATTTTTCAAACAGTCGCTATTTTGGAAATTTTTTTTTCCCAAAATCCTCTCGTAGTGCTATAACTACATCCTTTCTCTTTAAGGATCACTCAACAATTTCTATTTCGGGTTACTAGGAGTCCTGATATACTGCACACCAGGACACGCCATTTTTTGAGCAATCCCCACTTTGGCGGCCTGGAATTTTTTTGACATTTTTTATTTATTTTAATATTTTAATTGATTTTTACTCTTTAAATATCAATAAAAAAATATATAAAAAAATGTATGGTAAAAATATTTCTTGTTTTTCTTTTTATCGAGTCCGAAAAAGAGCCTAAAATTCGGGTTTCTAAACCAGAATACCCCTTAAGAAATAAATTTTAAAAACTTAAATTTCTTAAACTCATTAACAAAAAGTAGAAATTTATAAACATATTTTTAAATCAAAACTACTGCTCAGGTGTTTGTAAACATATACGTTTGTTCGGAACCCTTGAACGGCACTCCACTCCTCTCCCCGGGAAAGTGCACCGCCCACCCACACATCAGCTACAAGTATTTGAATTTGTTTCCAAGAACAAACGCAAATTAAGGCGCTGATATGAGTTGTTTTCCATATTTGTTTGCTTTTGTAATGCATGCAAAATACATTAAAGTGCGAGCGATAGACCGGCGACGGAACAGAAAATGATAACTTTGTACATTTCGATGTTATCACTTGGATACTGATGTTGTTTGCATGTCAAAAGCAATTGCCGCCCATTAAGACGAGCACACGAGAAGCGTTTGTAGTTTTACCGACGTTAACGCTACATACACACACACATATGCATTTATCTACGGTACATATTATATATGGTGTAGTAACGAAAAGCATAGATTGCATGGAGCATTTGGCCTTTAGTTTTTGAATTGGAGAAATAAGAAATGTGACCGACGAAACTCTGCTCTGCTGCAGCTGCCAGGAGGATGATTCCTCTGCTGATTTGTAGTACAAATTTCGTACTTTATAAAAATAATTAAATTGTCAACAGATTAACACATATTTTAGTTATTCGTTTCAATAAATGTGCATTGCGTTTTGAGCTAAATTCTGTTATATCGCTCGCTGAACAATTGTTTAGCTGCAAAGTTGAACAATTACACTTACATAAAATGATACAAATTCTCGTTTTTTTAATTTTTTAAATTGTGTCCAACTCCGTCGGTTATGATTTCCTCACTTTCGCACTTCCCGTTATTATTCACATTACGCATCAGTATTTGAACAAATTTCTTTGGTAACTTAAAGTTGGAACAAATTTTAAACACAATTCGTTTCAAGTTGATATGCAAATAGCTGTTTTGTCGATTCTCGTCGTTTATGAACGAGTGGGCAGGAAAGCGAGCAGAAATTACACACATACGCACTGTAGCACGGAAGATCTCTAGTGTCGCCTTACCGAAAATGCCGTCGGCAAAGTAATTCACTTTTATGGAGTTATGCTCATGCACACACACATACACTTGCACTTAGAGAGAAGATTTGCCCTTTTAATCGAATTGTGGTAGTCAGTCAATGGCGCTTCCGCGATTCCACCGTCACCAACATATACAATGTGTGTGAGTGCCAAGGTGTGAGTGTGTGCACACTAATGTAAATTGTCGTTTGTAACGCAACGATGAAACACTGCCGCCGCGTTGCGTTGCGTTACTTCCAATTTAATGGCCTGCTTTTCACTCAAAAACAATTGCCAACTAATTGTATGTTACAATTCTTGAGCGACGCGCGAAAATACACAATTCTCGTTGCGGCCACATGCCACACGAATGCATGCGTATGTGCATATGTATGTATACGTAGGAATGCTGGTATCTCGGTAATCCTTGCCGCCTTATCCCTACAACCGTCAAGTATTCTTTTGCTAGTTTCTTTCTTGTTCTTTCCGCGTTTGCGGCTTCTAGGCGGCGCGCGGAAAGTTGTTCATGCTAGCGGTTGCGGCGTTTTCAAATGAATCAAAGTGCGTTTCGCGCTCATTTCGCGCTCATCAATTCAGAATCGCCTAAGAAATTGCATGTGACATCGGGCTTTTTGATTGACTTCCGACACTCGACTGACCAGCCAACAAGGCAGGCAGCAAAAAACGCGCCGACCGCGTCCACAGCCGTCTGCCAAAGTCCCAGTGAACAACAACACGTACAACAAAAGCAATTGCAGCATTGAAAAAGCCCACGCTAGCCCACAATAGCCGGCTGTGTGCTGAAAAAGTGAGGCAGCCGCACAATTCGCCGCATAAATCGGTGGACATGAGCGAGCGTCGAGCATCCAAGCGATGGGAGGATTTCGTTCATGTCTTTCTTTCTACCATTCTTTAATATAGCTTGTGAGGATACTTGAATTTTTTTTTTAGTTTTCAAACGCTTTGTAAATTTCTTTTGCTCTTATTTTTGTTTGTGGGAAGCAATTTGTTGACGGAGGGAGAGGCGACATTGTTATGAGGGAAAAAATGCTGGGAGAGGATCGCTTTGAGAAGGACGAGTTATGCGGCAGCACAATACTTTTAATGGCACTGTTGTTAGTGAGACAACAACAGCAAAATCGCCATGATATTGACAGAGTTCGAGAATTTAATGAAAGTGACAGCAAAACACTAAAAAATTTCAATTGCAAAAGCATGTAAGCGCTCCTTCACACACACGTGTGCAGCGAGATGTGTTAGCGCATCCATGCACACGCATACGTTCACATACACAATTTAGGGAGAGGCGAACATAGGCCAGTTTGTATGTGGATACATATGTATGTACGTAGAGCAGGCAATTCAATAAATAAGAAAGCTATATGAAGTGCTGATCCGATTTGCACAAACTCGAAGGAAGAGCAAGCAGCCTTTGGGCCAATAAAGTACAGAGAATTATAAAACTTTCTTCTTTCTAAATATATTAGGCCCTGAAAACCGTAAATTTTTCATTAAAATCACTTTACCGATTTATTTTGTAGGACCGATTTTATTAGATTGTTAAGACAAGGGTTTGGCAGGGTTTTCTGTGGGATATTCATACACACGCATTAACAATAACCACAGGAATAAATATGTAATTTTAGTGGACTTGTATGGAAACCTTTAAATAGGATTTAGTTGAAAGCGTTTGTAGACTTTACAATAATTCCAACCGCAATAAGCTTTACACCGGAAAGTTTGGTAGTTGTCGAGCAATATTTTTCAACAGCTTGGTGATCTTATTGAATAGAGCCTGTTCGAATCTAAAGAGCCTGTATGTAATCATGTACAATTTTCGCTAGTCGCTGACACCAGTTCCGTCTTAGTTTTTGGTTTTTCTCACCTATACAGCAAATTCTTTAGTAATTCGACTCTATCAGTACGAACGTATTTATACTAAATTGAAAGCTCCTACCGCAATCACAACCGCAGGAACACCAAACCACACGCCCCAACTTAATTTAAGTATCAAGTATTATGCGCACTTTTTCCAGCAAATTATGCCATCCATGTTGTTTAGTATGTATTTATAAAGCCGTTAACAATTCTAATGAACCGTACCATATTGAAACGAATCGGTCGAAAACAAACTAAATGTATGCAACTCAAAATGCGACTGCACGACTGCAAAAAGCATAGCCGATGCACACGGCAGGCGGCGGTGATGCCAAATTCCAAACGGCCAATGACAATAAAAATTTAGCAGCAACAATAAGAACAACAAAGAATAAAAAATCAAACAGAAAAGAAAATATCTAAAATCTGCACACAATATGCACAGATGACGCTAGTAT